AAAAAAAAAAAAAAAAAAAGGTACCACACTGCCAGTATATTGGAAGAGCAGAATCATGGCTCACAGCCCTGAGCACAATCCTTAGTACCAAAAAAAAGTGGAGGGGAGGAGTGTTAAATCCCCTCAGATATATTTTAAACACATATGTCACAGTGTATCCCCCTGTACAACTATTATATGCTAATAATATCATAAATAAAGATACTAGTATAATCCCCCAAAATATGGGGTCTTAGTTTTATTTTTCTGATTTCATATAATAAGGGAAAATTATGAAAACATGTTTATTTCAAATGTTTTAAGTGGAACTAACATTATTTTAGAACATTTAAAAAGTCTTTGTGATTGATGGAAAGTTAGCAAAATTTTTTCTATGTACTCTCTTTCATATACAAACCTTTAAAGAATGTCAATTTTTTATGTGAGCCAGTTGATAGATTTTTACCTCAGAGAATCAGGTGGTAATCAGAATGCATTATTGTAACACTAATGTTTTGTAATTCTTTATTTATGACATTGTAAATTTTAAAATAACTTTTTTCTAGGTACAGTGAAGGCGAAATTCGATTTAACTTAATGGCCATTGTGTCTGACAGAAAGATGATATATGAGCAGAAGATAGCAGAGTTACAAAGACAGCTTGCAGAGGTTCGTGGCCGTGGTTTCAGTTAAAGTTCTAGCTTAGTTACTCCAGGGAAAGCATTTATTTTCATTTTCATTTTCTTTTTTGAAAATAGATGCAATTGATAAGTGTCCCAAGTAGAGGTTAAGAGAATAAACCCTGGATTTAGCTGCCTGGATGTAGTTACTGGCTTTGCCACTTGGTTTCTCTGTGCAGCATGGGGGGAGGTGGTGATCGGATTGCCTTCTAAGTTGTCATGAGATGAAATGAGACAATACAAACAAACCTCTTAAAACAGTCTCTGACAAATGCTAAGTGAGTATTAGTCATGAACTGTTTTAACTATTTAATATTTTTCCTTAGATAATTAGGCAGGCTAGAATATATTTCTCGAAGAGTTAGTTAGATGTTAATTAGATTCACATGTAATCTTTACTAGTTTTTATTATCTTTCTGTAGCAATATGATTGGAAAAGACTTAGTAGTAGACAAAAGTCTTTTTTTTAATACTTTGATCATATTTTCTTAAAAGTGTATTTAAGAAATTTTTATTTTATAGCTTAATAGAAAAGTATATACAAGTATTTTTAGGTGAAATTCTTAGTGTATTATTATAGAACACAAATGTGTAAGGTACTATATAGGGCTTTTATTTTTTAATTTTGCTGTTATTAGGCCATAACCATTGAGCGTAGAAATTTGAAAATAATTATACTATATAGATTTATTATTTAAAAATAGTCTGGACTTAAGCCTCAGTCATTAGGGTGTGCTTTTTCTTTTTTCCATCCCCTAAGGAGGAACCCATGGATACAGATCAGGGAAGTAATATGTTAAGTGCTATTCAGTCAGAAGTTGCCAAAAACCAGATGCTTATTGAAGAAGAAGTGCAAAAATTAAAGAGATACAAGGTATGTTTTCAAAAATATGTTCGTTTAATGTTTTAATTAAAAGTATTATATTTTAAGATGGAAGTATGTTGAATGTTTGATTGCCTTTGCTCCCATCATTTACCAGTTTTCAGAATAATGTGTTGATTCTCTGGCATCCTGCAAAGATAAGGTAGTATGGTTTCTTTCTAACTTATTAGATGCTTACTTAGTAACTGCAGCTTTTATTCCTGTGGTGCTCATATTATCCTGTCTTTGGCCATTGGGAGCTACTTTGAGCTGTCTCCTAAGTCTTTTTGACATAACACCTTTAGTCGCATTGCTTCTTTTCTTTGTAGTGTTTCAGACTCATCTTGTAATTTCCTACCTCAGACTTGTAATCCATTTTTTAAAAGAAAGTCCTGAGTTCTCAATGTGAGAAATGTTAAAAGCCACTATCTGGGTTGCTAGGTCACTCAGTGCTACTGATTGGTCTTTGTTTCTAGGTCTTTCTGAAGCAAAGAAATACACTTTTGTTTCTTGTTTTATTTTTGAAAAGAAAATACAATGTGGATTTACATTAATACTCAGATTTAAGATTAAAGAGCTTTACACTTGAAGAAGTTAAGTGTTTGCATTTCTTAAGCTAAAAATCTTGTTTTCTAACAACTTTAGCTTAATTACTTACTTGCTTTATGATATGTAGCACAGTACATGCATAATACATGACACAACACACACATATATGTGGGTTCAGAATAACAATACCAATAGTGTTAATAACAACTGAAAAGTGTTTTCCTAAGTTTGTTTTATTCCTTAGAAATACCCCATTTGAGTCATACAACCAAATGCCTGTTTTTAAATTCTCTTAAAGTTTTTTTCTTGATTTTTGCATTCAAATTTTATTTTTTAACATCATAATTTAACTTTTTTAGTTATATTGACATTTTTGTAATTCAAAGTCAAATATAAAAGCAAGGTTCTTTTTGATAGTACCATTCTCCTTTACTTACAATCTGTCTAATAAGCCTTTTTCAGAGAGTGGAAAGAGGAGAGAAGTTTGAATTTGCATGACTTGGACATGGAACTTGAGACATTTGTCATGTGTGCTACTGTAGTAAAGGTCCTTTCTCATGACACCCATGGGAAGCAAGGATAAGGACAGTCTTTTTTTCTTTTTGTTGCTCAGCCTCTGTGTCAGGCTGCTGTCATACTTAACAACCAGGAAATGACCTATATAAAATTAAATGGAACTTTAGCTAGGAGGATTCTTCAGGTGGTAATGGTAGGGGTGGACAGGCTCGAGTATCTACCTAGACAGAAAAAAGAAGGGCCAAGTTCACGGGGACAGGAAAGTAAGAGATGACAGCTTCAACCTTATTTTCCATTTCACATAATACTTTTTTTTTTTGGTGGTTGGCCAAACTCAGGGCCCGCTAGGCAGGTGCTTTACCACTTGAGTCACTCCACCAGCCCCTTTTTGTGTTTGGTATTTTTGAGATAGGGTCTCTCACTTTTTGCCCAGGCTGGCCTCAAACGTTTTCCTGATCTGTGCCTCCTGAGTAGCTATGATTACACATACTAGCACCTGGCTCACATAGTATTTTTAGAAGCCCAAACTGCTCACTAGTTATACATACTTACGCAGGGTTATTCTGTAACTTTAATATCTACCAAAAATAAAATGCCAGTTAAGTTTTCAGAATATTTACCTGCTACATTGTTTGGTAATGCTTTGTTTTAAAAGGTAAAATGGCTTTCATTGAAATAAAATAAACACGTTAAGATTTAATTTAATTAACTGCAAGAAGCTATAAGGTGTCACAACTAGTTTAAGATAGGTCAGAGAAGCTCGAATTTATAGGAAGCAAGGGAATGTTGAAATGAACTTGTAGAGATTAGAAGCACTTTGTCTGTGGAAGAAGAGCTATCAGTGGGACACCTGCCAGCAGAAGACACAGTAGCTCAATGGCGTGAAAGGCTGGAATTGTAGAATATGGTAGTACTCGCTAAAATGCAGTTTTCCACCTGCTCCCTTCCCTTTTGATCAAAAATAATCTCAAAGAAAGATTGGTTTTGGTCATAAAATAACACTCTTCTCATTAGACTTGGCCTGATTAGTTGTATAGGTATAGTAGCAAGAGTGTTAATTTATCATGTGGGCCTTTTTATAATTTACATTTTCATAAATAGCCTTTGAATGGATTTTTAACAGCTCATTTGCTAAACTGAAGGTAGGAAGTTATGTCTAAGAAACTCACCACGTGTTCTGTTATATTAGTGTTTATTCTTAATGGGAACAGAATCACATTGTTTCTATTTTTTTTTTTTATGTGAGTGGAGGATTTTATTCCATTTCTGAGGGTTTTTTTGGTTTGCTTTTTGTGGTACTAGGGTCCAATTCTAGTTTAAATTGGACATAAAAAATGCCAGAAAATTAGCAGAAATGTAGTTAGTGTAATCTAATATGATTTACTTTCAGATTGAAAATATCAGAAGGAAGCATAATTATCTGCCTTTCATTATGGAATTGTTAAAGACTTTAGCAGAACACCAGCAGTTAATACCACTCGTAGAAAAGGTAAGTCTTTTATTGGTGAATACTTAAAACATAATTTTTTTTCTTTTGTCACAGTGGAGGTAAAATCTCTCAAAGCATTTCTAGCCTGTTCTTTTGCTTTTGCTATGTTTTCTATTCTGTCATGTTAGTTCAGCCTGATCTTGTAAAGTACAAAGATTTGCCCCACAGCACACCTCAGACTGAACTGTATCACCTGAAATTTAAAACTCCAGCCTTCCTTTGAGCAAAAACAATATTTTAGTGTTAATAATTTAAATAATAGATTTTTCCTATTTAATTTGGCAAAAATTTGAATTGATGCAGAATTTCAAACTAGAATGGACATTGATGGGGGCTAAAAGAATAGTCTTGACTAAGAAATAGACTTCCTTATTCCTAATCTACTACCCTGTCCACTGAGGGGTAACTAATACAAATTAGTGAAAAATACTGATTTATAAGACTTTCTTCTTCAGTGTAAGGCACTTAATAGAACATTTGTGCAATAAATAAAGTACAATTAAATTGTTAATACTGTGAACAAGCATTTCTGAAAGTGACCATCAGTGCTACTCTTACCTGGCCCCTCCCCAGATGCTCTGATCTAGGGAAGGAGTCTAATCCCCAGGTGATTCTAGGGCAGCTGACTTGTGTACCACTTGTGGAGCAACTCTGAAGAGACACTTACTAGGCAAATAAAATTTTGGACCATTAATTTAAAGACCAGCGCACATGGTAAATATATTTTTCTTACTAATTCAAAGTTTGAGAAGTGGAGGTACATTTCATCCCAACTGTTTCATATTTCAAATAATGTGAGCTTTTAGTTCATTAGGTTTTTGTGTTTACCTTACCTCAAACATGTAATCAGCTTTTAGCATTAAACACAAAACTTATTGTGGAAGACTGCTGAATATTCTCTTTCCATAGAGGTGGAATGTATTTGTACATCTCAGAGTATTACAAGATGGAAACTGATTTTTAAAACCTTAGATTAAAAATTAGGCCCCATTGTTCTCAAAATTGCCTGGTTAACACAATACCTAGACATAGTGCTCTTTACATGAAACACCATGAAATATTTCTCTGTTACAATTAAACAAGTTGTGCACAGTGGCTCACACCCACGATCCTAGACGGAGATCAGGAGGATCAAGGTTCAAGGACAGCCCAGACAAACAGTTAGTGAGACCCCTACTCAATTAGTAAAAAGCTGGGCATGGTGTCACACACCTGTTGCCCCAGCAACAAAGGAAGTGTAAAGAGGAGAATCTGTTTGAGGCCCTCTTGGGCATAAAAGTGAAATCTTGTCTCAAAAATTAACTAAGGCGGACGAGGTGATGGCTCACACCTGGAATCCTGGCAGGAGGCAGAAATCAGAAGGCTCACAATTTGAAGCCAGCCTCAGGCAAATAGTTCATCCTATCTTAAAAAACCCAATCACTAAAAAGGGCTGGCAGAGTTGTTCAAGTGGTAAGAGCACCTGCCTAACACGAAGCCCTCAGTTCAAACGCCAGTACCACCAAAAATAAAACAAAAAAACCCTAAAGCAAAAGGTCTAGTGATGTGACATGTAGTAGTGCCTGCTTAGCAAGCACAAAACCCTCAGTCCAACCCCCAGTACCACCAAAAAAAAAAGAAAAGAAAAAAACACACCCAAAAAGCAAAATAACAGCATATCATTTGCAAAATCATTTGTTATATGTATCAGATTTTAATTTTATGTAAATTTTATAAAGTACCCATAGACAAATTGCATAGAGATTGCCTTAAAGTTGGTTTTTGAGTATAATTTTTTTGTGCACATTAGGAATAGTTTTGTTTGATTTTTGTTTTGCAGTATTGAGAGTTGAACTCAGGGCCTCATGCTTTCTAGGCAGGTATTCTACCACTTAAGCCACTCCAGCAACCCTTTTTTGTGTTGGTTATTTTTGGGATAGGGTCTCCCTTTATGCCTGGGGTTAGCCTGGATTATAGTCCTCCTATTTGTGTTTCTCTGCATAGCTGGGATGACAGGCATGTATCCCCACCCTCAGCGACTGGTTCAGATAAGGTCTAATGAACTTTTTCGTTCAGGCCGACCTCAAACCTCGATTCTCCTGCTTTCTGCACCCCCAGTATCTAGGATTACAGGTGTGAGCCACCATGTCTGGCTGTGTTGTTTGATTTTTCATGACAGTATATTCCCAGGGTTTTTTTTTTGAGAGAATATAGAGCAACAAGTTTTCATTTTTTGATTAAAATTATTCCTTGGTTCACATAATTTTGGACACAAGGTGGCAGTATGAATATCTAATATTGGTGTGACCCTAAACCTGTTCTTGTGTTTTGTGTTTTGTTTGCTTGTTTGTTTTTGAGGAAGTAGTTATTGACCTACTTTGCCTATTTCTTGAAGCTGTTCTTTAAAATACTGCATAAACAATATGGAATATGTTAATTCCTTGTGCATAGGCAGTACCTGTTACCCTCCTGAATTTGAGGGAGTCTAGACTCATCGTCTGGTTGGAATTCTTCAAGTATTTTTAATTGTCCATCAGACATCTATCTGCCTCCGCATTCTGGCCACTCTGTAAGGTCTAGGGATGTACACATAATGCATATTCTTTTCTCAACCAGCTCGTGATATCTTTGGAGAAAGGAATACATAAGCAGGTACAGTACTGTGCTGAGTGATGTTCTGATGAGTGCCAGCATGAAGTCACGCTGAAGATCCTGGGCACACACAGGAGTGGCTCCCAAATAACTCTACAGCCTCTTAGCATTTCACTTTCACAAAATTAAGTCTGTGGTTAGAATGAGCTGCTTCATCTGCTTCCTTAGAAAAAATATGTTTTTGTTTATCCTGTTTTGAAAAAAGATTTATTATTACACACTGAAATGTCACTTTCTGTTAGTAAATGCAAAAGTTCAAACAAAACAGGTTGAAAAACCAAAATAGATTAAGATTAGATTTTATAGTATAATTACTTAATAATAGTACTTTGAAGAAAAATTACCTATACAACTCAAAAATAGATTATTAATTTGAATGCCTCTTTTTTTTTTTTTT